AAGCACACATGCCCTATGGCAAAAACCTGAAAAAAAAAAAAAAAAAGAAGCAAGAAGAGGGGCTGCTTAGGAAGGAGGTACCCAAGAAAGGTTGTGGAGTAAAGGAGTAAAGAGGAAAAAAAAATGGAGAATCTGGGATAAAAGCTGAGTCCAGAGCCTCCCAGAGGCAAGAGGGTTGGCTGGGGCAGGGCCCTCGAGGCCATCCTGACCCTCCACTCCTTCCCCTAGATCCATGGAACCCAGCGAAATGCCTGCTGCCAGTCACTGCCCTTCAGACTCTGCCCCAAAGAGTGAGACTAGAGCCCCCCAGGGCATGGAGCTTATCCCCAGGAGAGCTGTCAGTCGCTCTCCAACCTGCGCCCGCTGCCGCAACCACGGTGTCACTGCCCACCTCAAGGGCCACAAGCGCCTATGTCTCTTTCAGGCTTGCGAATGTCACAAATGTGTTCTCATCCTGTGAGTATGAAGTCCAGGTAAGAGAGAAGAACAGACCTCCTCTAAAAGGTGGCTGACTTTTGATTCACAATCCTCCCTTTCAGGGAGCGCCGAAGGGTCATGGCTGCCCAGGTGGCCTTGCGTAGGCAGCAGGAGGCACAACTGAAGAGACACCTGGCTCAGGGACTGACAAGGAGAGGAGCAGCCCCTCCCAAAGCTCCCAACCGTGTCAAGAAGGGAGCTATGCAACCGGGCATCCCCTGTGAGTGTCTCTAGCCAGGAATGGGGCAGAGATTTAGGAAAGCATAAGTGGGGAAGAGGCTGTGTCCTGCCACTGTGATCTTGGGCAAGGTACTTCTGATCTCTGGGCCTCAGTCTCTCCCAACTATGAAATGTAATCAAGTGTTGGGAAGATGCAGTGAGATCCATGGGTAGAAAATGGCTAGGGACATGGGCCAGCTAGTGTTGTGGTGGTTAAGGCTGCTGGATGCACATAGCCAATGGAGCTGTTTGAGTCCTGGATCCAATGGTTTGAAAAACGTGCTGGGCACATGTGCATACATGCCCAGTATCCCAAAAGGAGGGAAAAATGGGGAGAAGGGATTGTAGTATGGTCATCTTCCACGGGAGATACTTTCTCTTTCTTACGTGCACTCTCTAGAAACTTTTGAAAGAATAAAGAGGGGTGGGGGGGAAAGGAGGAAGGAAGGAGATGGTCAGGGGCAGGTAAGAACTCAGTCTGGGCTTGGGGTGGGATGGAGGATGTAGGTTACGTGGAAGAGCTCATTGGAGCTCTCCCTGGTTCCTTGCAGCTGGAAAGGAGAACATAGCACTCCAGCCTCAGACCCCCCATGGGGCAGGCCCACTGGCATTGACACCTGCTGGGAAGGTAAGGTGACTTTGGACCCTGAGGGAGTGGCTCCCACCTAGCTCCTATCTTGACACCTTCCCCTGTGCCCTCAACACCTGGATTCTGACTCCAGCTCTGACTTGCTATACAATCTTAGGCAAACAGTTCTGTGAACAAAATGAGAGGTAGGACTTTAAGGCCCTCCCAGCTTTAAAATATTGGGATTCTACCCTATCCCAGAGAATGCCCAGCCCTCTTCCAGCCTTGTCCCCTAACTCCAACCTGTGTCCTCTGTTCTGGCAGGACAATTCCTGTGGGCCTCTTCTGCTCAGCTGTCCCCCAGAAGCCTTGCCTTTGCCCTGGACTCCAGTGCCTGCAGGCCCTTGGGCCCCTGGACACTGGTTGCCTCCAGGCCTTTCCATGCCACCCCCAGTGGTATGCCGCTTACTATGCCGAGAACCTGCTGTCCCTCTGCATCCCTTCCCTGGTAAGATAATAATTCAACATGTAACTTGGCAAATATTTAAGTGCCAGTTTACCACTGTATCAAAAAGAAAGTACGAAGACACAGGTGGGGAGAGGGAGAACAGAGCCATGATCTCTTGCGCCTATACACTCTGCATTCTCTTCCCCTCATTAGGCTTTGACCCTGGCACCTCCCTTCGGCTGCCCACTCATGGTACCCTCTCAACCTGCCCAGGATCTTGCCCAGTACTGACAGCTCCTCTTTCTGGAGAGCCCCAAGGACCCTCAAGCCTGCCCCGCACGTGAGTAGGGAGAAAAGGATGCATATTTATACTGAGCCTGGACACCATAATGGGTGATAAAGAAGAAAGGGTTTCAGATCTTTCAGCTAAGGGAGGCAGACCTCTCATAGCTCTGTCAGTTTCTGACTCTTAAGTTCTGAACAAGTATCTGTTCCTCCCTGTGCCTTTTTTCCTATCAGTAAATGGAAGATACTGTTACTTATCTCTTGGGTTTCATAAAAATTAACCATAATGCATGGAATACACCTAGCACAGGCCTTGACCTTGAACAGGTAGTAGCTATTAAAACCTCTTGGGGGACCAGCAGTTAGCGTAATGGCTATGTCGCTGGACTCCCACGTAGTCGACCGCGG